TATAGATATATAGATATGGTGGTACTCGCTTGGAAAAACCTTGGGTATGTTGGCTTGTAGTAGAACAAACCAGTACCCAAGGAAAAATGAGGAATAAAAAAGAAAGAACTAAGAACATGAAATTGAGTTCAAAACAATCGTCCAGAGTTCAAGCTCAGAGACCAAAGGAAAAAACCCTCCAAAACGAGTAAAAGCAACTACACAAAGTAGAGCAAACATAATATATATATATATATATATATATATATATATATATTTATTTATTTATTTATTTTCATTCAGTTAAAAATCCTTGATAATGTATAATTTTAAATTTAAGAGAGGCTCATAAATATGAAAAATGCTAGATTGATAAATGCTTCCTATGTTTTTCAATCCTATTATGTGTGTGTGTATGTATATATATATATAATCACCGACAGACAGACAGACAGACAGTTTCGCTGTATTACAGATCTTCAGTGTGGCTAGGTGTCCGATTGCTTCAAGCAGATCCTACCCTAGGCTATCGCCGGACGGCGGAGAGAATGGGAAATTTTAACTTTTTCTATACGAAATACGCCAGTGGCCCGGCGAATTCAATTCATATATATATATATATATATATATATATATATATATATATATATATATAGAGATAGAGAGAGAGAGAGAGAGAGAGAGAGAGAGTCCAGCTTTCCCCCCACAGAGTATTTGCACTTAAATGAATATACCTAACTCTACTGTAATTCGAACTCAGCTCTACGATTTCTCAATCCATGCCACTTTCCATTAAACCACCACACATCCAGTTCCGAAAATAAGTGTGGTTGGTTCTACACAAACCTTCACCCATACACAGGATGATTGATAAGTAACTCCCTACGGCAGAGTCCATCATAAATAAAATAGGGAGTTACTTTTTAATCATCCTGCATATACATTGGGCCCTCCCATCGTATGAGCCAAAACTTAGAACCGAACTGCTAGACTATTTGCACATATGATTGGATTACAGGGTGATTGAAAAGTAACTCCCTATTTTTAATGAACTTTGCCCTCCTGTAAAAATCATAGTTAGACGGCAGAGTCCATCCTACATAAAATAGGGATTTACTTTTCATTCATCCTGTATATAAATGTATATAAGTGTTTGCGAATGAATGTATCTTCTATTTTATTTTTATTGCTCTCTCGTCAGTTGATTTAACATAATTTCCAGATTTCATTTTATTTTTCTATTTTCCAAGTGTCTGGAGTCAGGAGGGTGAACGTTATGATGAGGCGGGGAGGTCAAAAACTCATTGATCAAATGAATTTTCTTATAGAAAGTTCACAGCTTGGCGATCAACACAGTGGCTGCAATTTGGATGAAAAAGGTAACATTGTCTTTCAAAACACACCATCAAATATATCTGTCATAATTGGCTTTTTTAATCTCGGGTGCACGCCACCCCACCCCGTAAGACAATTGGGCAGTGGGCTAGAAGGAAATCTTAAACAGTTAAAAAAAAAAAACTTTTATTTTGCCAAACTCAAAAGAAAGGCTGATAAAAAAAATCTTGGACAATGTAGTAAAGGAAAGCAAGAAGAAAGGACTAAGTGTTAAATATAAGATTGATTTTTGATTGATTGGTTTGTTTGTTCAACGGCACATCAACTACTTATAGGTCATCTTGGAAGCTTTGAAGTAATTAAACTAGGATACATGTTATTCTGCTTTCACAATTGAATACATGGTAGATGATACTCAGCTTTTGCGTATATACATGTTTGTGTGGACAGAATTACTCGAGGCGGTGATATGTGTATTTTATGTTGTAGTTTTGCTGAAGTTTATTTCATGTCGAAATCTAAATAATTTGGACAGAAATTTATGCCTTCAACTGCAGATAAAATGTATTCCTGGTTATTTTACTATAAAAATGTATTGTGGGTTCTTTTTATATAAAAATGTATTGCTGGTATTTTTACTATAAAATGTATTTTCATATTGATTTGTTTTTGTTTGGTGGTTCACTATTTGCCTATAACTAGGATCCTAACAGGTGCTAACACCTCGGGTCAGGGTAAAACTCTGAGCAGCAGTTAAAAGAGGATTCCACGCTCCTCAAAACTCCAATCACTCGATCAAAGGTCATACTGCCGGATGTAGTTTATCGTCATACCCAGGACTACCAAATATAAGAAGACAGAATTCATGGTTGTCAGCAAAAATGACACCCCAAGTTGTAAGCGATATACTGAGAAAATCAAAATAAAGTAGGTACAGAAATTTAACTAGCCGTTAAGTGTTCTAACAAGTGATGGAAAATGTGATGCACAGATCTAGACGCATTAGAATATCGAAAGATGCCTTCAAGAAACTAAGTATTTAGAAAAGAGGAATATTTTCATTAGAAACAACGAAATTAATATCGAACTTCTATGATATATCAATCCTCTGTATACCAGTGAACACAAGTCAATTACCTCACAGATAAAGAAGAGACTTGAGGCAACTGAAATGTGTTCTTCGGTAAGATGCTGAGAATGCTCTGGGCAGGACATGTCAACAACGAGGGAGTTTTAAGGAAAATGCTAAAAAAGGATATTTGTATTTAACATAAGAAAGAGACAGTTGAAATTTCTGGGACGTATAATGGGGAAAGATAATTTGATACTTATGTGAACATAGAACGTGACCTTCGCCCAAGCTCCCCACCGACCGGTCAATGATCTATCCCACGTTGCATTCCAATCCTCGAGCCCATCGGTGTACACAGAAAGCTGGGAAATGGCGCGATGCACGCTCACAAGGTAACACGATGAAAGTCAAACGCCATGTCAAGAAATAAGAACGCGGACTCTGTTTCTCATATATGTAGATGTTTTATTTGTGTCTTCGCATGCTCGTCCAGGTGTGTAGGTAAATAGGTAAGTATGTGATATTTGGGACATCTTCTGCTATGTCAGCCTTACCACGACGAACTCCGCGACCATCTACTCATCCCGATGTGGTAGCTGGCAATATGAAATAGCTGCTTCGGAACCGCGCGCCGAACACATCCGTTTCCCGTCAAGAGCGAACCAGAATTCTCTCTGATCCTAAGCATGACTATTAATAAAAACCAGCACCCGGATATACACTATTTCCGGTTTTGTTGTCACTTGATCTCCAGATAAAACCACCTCTTCCCTCTCTTCGTGGGCGTCCATCACAATCACAGGAAATATTGGAGAAGGAGAGTAATATTAAGTAACCTCCGTAACGAAAATGGGTGACAGAACGGAGACAAAAGCGGATTGTAAAGGGTCAAAAGTTAAACTAAAGCTACAAGGGAGAGAACGTTGTGAATAGAATTATACATGAAAAATAAAACTCTCGGCTTTTTCCTTGAAAATTTTCAAACCGCTCTTTAAATAGCCTTTTTGAACTGAAATAATAAAAACAAAATGAGATTTCTAAAGTTAAAATAAAACTTAGACACTTACTTTATTTTTTTTTCTTACAAAGAGATTGGTTGCTTGGTTGATTTTGTTTAACGGCATATCAACACCTCTATGCCGAAATCTAAATATTTCGAACAATTTTATGCCTACAACTACAGATATTTTGTACATGATCTTATACTTCCCGGGTAAAAGTATGTTTTTAAGATATATATCTTGTAGATGATAAAATATATTGCTGGTAATTTTACGACAAAAATGTATTGTTCCTTATTTTTTAATAAAAATGTATTGGTGGTAATGTTACTACAAAAATCTATTTTTATACTATTTTAGTTTCGTATTGACTGTCATTTTGCTATAAGAATTTATTGTTGGTCATTTAACTATAAATAGGTATTCTTGGTAATCTTTTTTTAATAAAAATACATTGTTGGTAATTTTTGCTATAAAAATGTATTTTATATTTTCCTAGTGTTTTGATTTTTGTTTGGTGGGGGGGGGGTCACTATTTGTCCATAACTGGGACCCTAACAAGTGCTACCACTCAGAACTACTCATTTGTGGGAAGGGCCTTACTCTTCTGCAGAGGTTAGAATCGGTGTATTCTACATCCCCAGCCGACAGGCCGTACTTACAAAGACAGATCTTTACAATAAGAAAATATAAAGAGACTTGGGTTTTTTTTAGTTTTAATAGTCAAACCAGTCAAAACCAGTCAAACTCAGAATTTAAAACCAGCCTGAAGTGACATGGGCTTCGACATACTTATCTTACCGTAAACACTCACTGCTGCTTCGGTGAGGCTATTGCTGGCGATATAAGATCAAATTTTACCGATAATACAAGAAGTAATTAAGACAATGCTGGTTTTGTAAGTCACGCTAAAGTTAAAAACGTCTTTTAACTGTTTTGCTTTTGTTTTTTTTCTCTGATCCTATATTTTCTGGAGTTTCTTGCTTGTATCCTATGTCTTCTGGAGTCTCTCTCTTGGTTTATTTTCATGGACAGAATCATCTGTGGATTTCTTGTCGCATTATCGCTTGGTTGAATCGACAAATCTGGCTGCTTACGCCCGCGCATTTGTTGTGGAAGACGAAGACATGGATGCGGTTATTGATATAAAAGTAAGTCTTTAAATATCTTCTTACCTTAATAAAATGCCGACACTGTGAAATAGCATAGTCTTTATTTATGTTAACAACTGTTTATCTCGTAAGCGCAGTACTAGATTGGCAACAGTGTCTCATCAATTCACAGTTGAATTGGCATGATGTAACCTTAAGTTCTATGCGTACAGTTTCTTTTCTCGCACTTCTCGCTTGTGGAACTCTCTTCCGGCTCCATAATTCCCAGCCAACTTTGATCTTCAAAAATTTAAATGCAATTCCAATCGTTGTCTCCTGTCTTCCTAATTATTCTTCTATTGTTCTCGCTCCTTCATAATGATTTCTGCTTTTTTTTTAATTCTTTCACATGCCGTAATTTTGTATCTTAGTGGCTTTACCGCCTTGATTAGGATAAATTCGATTAAAAAATAATTGTAGCAATTCCATACCATTCCCCAATACACCACCTGCACATCCAAGCTTACAGCAACTGGTATTCCCAAGCGGTTTCCTATCTAAATACTGACCCAGCTCGTCGTTGCTTAACTTTGATGATAGTACGGGAATCCGTGTTTCAACGTGATACGGTCGTAAGCCACGATAGGAAGTATTACAGTCGCCGTGTATTTTTTATGTGTCGATGGATCCCCATGGCTGATCAGGCTGCTGGGGGATGTGATTTTATAGACTTATCATTTTTAAAATGGTTGCTAAACAAGATTAGAGAACCCAGTCTGTCCTGCTATTTAACCCATATTTGGGGGGAAAGAGATGGATTCATACCTTTCCCAGGAGTATTTGCGCGTAAATGAATGTAACAAACTCGACCGGAATACGAACTCGGCTCTCTGTTTACTCAAGCTTTTACACCACCCGCACATCGTAATGGGTTACAATGGGTTACGGGATTTCAAAAGTAAAAAGAAACACAGCTCAGTACTAGGATATCTAAAGAAGGTATTAATGCTTTATATTATTATGGGTGCTACAGTATTGATGTGTAGAAAAGTTCCTTGTTCGAGTGTGTCGTCTAAGGCAGTGCTACTCAAAGTCTGGTATGTGGACGGGTACCGGTAAACGGGTCATCGTCTTCCGGTACGCGGAGAATTTCCAGTGAAAAAAAAAAGAAACAGTAATCACATTCCATGCCACGGGAGACTACCGGGATATCTGACTCTTTTTTTTTTTTTTTTACATTTTCATTTTAGTTTTATATTTATTATGGTTACATTTTTCAATTAGTCACTTATGTTAAAAGTCATTGCTATAAAATTAACTTATGCAATATCATCATTAGTCACTTACTTCGCTTGTTACAGACTCCGCATCAACCTGAGATATTCTTCTTCACAAGGTTCCATCACTAATAGCAGAGTTCAAAGAGTAAAGGTCAATTCCAATTCATCAGTGGACATTATTATTAAACCAACGTTTTGTCTATTGACCTTTGCTTTACTTACCGGCTAATTTTCCTTTTAGGCATAACTTACTCACATCTTGAGTTAATCTTTTGATATGAGCATAAAGTTTAAGTACTCTTGACTTGATATTAGTCAAGTGAAATACGTAGGACAACGCCATTATTATGATGAGGCAAGTGACTTTGCAGAGAAACCACTCCAAGGATTACCAAAACATCATTTTCATGGACATATATTTCTAAAAAATCAATGTAAAATAAATAGCAAAAACGATGCAACTTTTATTCTATTCATTATATTTTTATGGCATAAATTAATAATACTACGAAGGTTCAAATAATATTTTCTCGGATTGTTATTATACAGGGCGTCCCTAAAGTCTGGACACCCTAGGCAAAAAGGCATATTTTCAAGAAACGAAATTTTCAACAACATTTTATCGAATTGGAATATTAACAAATAACATCTTCAATATAATTTCCATCATTGGTGATGCAAAAGTTGACGCGCTTTGCAAGATTCACGAGAACTCGATGCAGCAATTCCAATATTGCCGTCAATTTTAACAAATTTACTCTTTATGCGTTCAATCAAGTGTGTTGCATCTGTGATTTTCATTGAGTACACCTTATCCTTTAGAAGACCCCAGAAAAAGAAATCAATTCTTTTTCCTTTCGATAAAACCATCTTTAATCTTTCGAGGTAAAAAATATAGTTAATGAGATTCCGTAATGTTTTCTTGGATCGTTATTCTATAATTATATGACACAAATATGGCACCTGTCGCTGGCACACTGGGAAGACATGTTACATCAATGATGACTGGCCTCAGAATAAATAAGACATCATAGCCTCATGTTTAGTACAGATAATCTCAAAATGACTCTGAAATAAGACATATCTAAAAAAGTAGAGCAAGGTACATCGCTAGCTGGATTGGAAATCTTCACTCGCCGGTACACCTTGCACGTTGAAAAAAAAAGTGCCGGTATGCCACATCAGATAGTTTGGGAAGCACTGCTCTAAGGCATCCTAACTCTGACAGAAAAGGAATAAGTATTAACACACAACAATGTGGGTGAGATTGTTAACGTGAAATAGAGGATTTACTACGCTTTCCCCTTGACCGATGTACAAAAATGATTAAAGAGTTCGCCCTCGGATTCTACCAAATATATAGGAGTTAGTGTTTCATCGTAGTTGTAGATAACTATGACGCAAGGAAAATATACACATGCATCGTGAGAGTAGAGGCTTTATATTGAACTGGTAGGGTCTAAAATTAAAAATCGGTATATTCTATATTTTTATCTTTCAGGAAACGCGTGTTGCGATCAGAGGTGTAGACACAGTGAAGCACATGACAGAAAAACAAAAAGAATACGTCTTCAAGGTAATTCCCCTTTCTCTCTTACATACGGAGGAATAGGCCAAATGTAATGTCTCTCTTTCTTCCATTGCAATTGATTTAAGTAATAGAGACACGCGTAACACGCTAGAAGTAAGCGCAAAAGTCTCGGATCTTGTTCTCAACATAGTCTCCACCCTTCTCAATTGTAATAAGTGGCTAGGTCAGAAAGTAATGCCTGTTGTCCTTCAATTAAGATTTAATAGTAGAAGCTCACAGAATATAACGAAATGAATCCCATCTTTTTTAGGATTTCAAATCTAGTCTTAAACATAATCTCCTCCAGCCTCTATTGTGGTAAGAGGGTTGGTCAGAAAACAATGTCCGTTTTCCTTCAATTAAGATTTAATGGTAGAAGCTCACAGAATATACCGAAATGAATACCATTTTTTTTTATGAATTCAAATCTAGTTCTAAACATAATCTCCTCCAGCCTCTATTGTGGTAAGAGGTTTGGTCAAAAAGTGATACCAATTTTTTAAGTACAACGACAATAGTAGAAATATAAAATGCTCAGAATTCCTAAATTAGTCCTCAACACAGAACTTTCCTTTTCGATCCTGATTAATCGAGGGTCTGTCATAAAATAATGCCTATCCTTATTTACACTATTTCCATTCTGACTATTGTCATCATCTTTGTTGTTGTTACCACAATATTTTGGCCGTTGTGCCTTTCGGCCTTCATCAGTTGTATGTCGATCTGGGTAACCAACAGGAACTTCTGAACCGAACCCTTTATTTAATCTACGGGTGTAAACTTCTCGTTCCACCGTTCATGTCTAGAGATATCTCGTCTAGTTCTTATTTTTAGTACTGCTCAGTTATTGCTCACTCGTTTCCACTCACTACGTTTTTTTCTACGATCCACCATGGGTTTTTCTCAGATCGTATTCGTTCATATTGTGATTTTTTGTTTTATTTTTTATTTCCAGGTGTTAAAAATTGATGATGCCAGTCAAATAACGTTTCGTATGTTTGCGGTCATCACAGCACTTTCCGAGAGAGTTACCCACATGGAGTGAGTTTTATGCTTGTTTTCGTATCTGGGGGAAGTATTCAACATCCTGGTTCGATGAGAAGTGTAACACAGAGATTGACAAAAAAGAGATTAGAGACAGAATGATATAGGAAGAGAGAGAGAAAGGAAAAGAGAATAAAAAAGGGGAGAAAGAGAATAATAGAAAAAGATGGAGAGTAAAAAATGATGAATGAGAGAAAAAAGAAGAGGAAGGAAGAGAAAGAGAATATAAATGAGAGAAAGAGAGAGAAAAGAGAAAAAGAGAAACAGAAAGGTAAAAGTGAAAATGAGAAAAATCGAAAGAAAGAGAGATAAAGACAAAATTCGAGAGAAAGAGAAAAAGAGGAGTTTGAGAGAGAGAGAGAGAGAGAGAGAGAGAGAGAGAGAGAAAAACGAAAAGAAGGGCTATGGTGTCTCCCGTCGAATTTTCGATTTGATTCAATATTTCTTTACAAATCGTGTAATGAATGTCGATTTGAACGACTACCCGTCTAGTCCCTTTCATATTAATGCGGGGATTACCATGGGCTATATCCTTGGACCTATTTTCTTTCTTATCTTCAACCACGACTTTCCCAATCTCATCAGTTCCAAAATCGGAATTTATACTGATGACACAACAATATAATCCTGTCTTCATAGTAAATCCAATCAGTCCGATAAAGTAAATCTGGCCGCTGATCTTGAAGATGACCTTCAATCAGTTGTTATTTGAGGCAAGCAATGGCTTTTAAATTTTAATACCTTAAAAACGAAACTGTTGTCTTTTAGTCATCTTAAAGCACCCTTTTTGTCTTCCGTCAGAATGGCTGATGCTAACCTTCTGGCGAGCAACTCATTATGTCTTTTTGGTCTCACCTTTTCCACTGATAAATGGAATGATTATATTGAATTAATTGCTAGATCTACTGTAAGGAGAGTTGGTTCACTGCCGTGCCAGACAGGTTTTTCTTGCCATAATCCATCTTGCATGTTTATAGGTTTGTCATTCGTCCGTCTATTGAATAGTGCTACCACATCTCGTCTGATGATTGAAATTTCTTGGCAAGATCTAAAGAAGCATCTCTAACGTTATCGGTCTTGACCTAGTATCTCAGCTTCAGTCACTTTCTTACCATAGTAGCGTATGGCTTCCCTGTGTCTTTTAAATAATTTCATGGCATAAATTTAATTGTACTACTAGATTGGTAACTGGCTCTCCATGTTTTACTGTTGAAATAGCCGGATGCAACCGTAAGTTCTATTCTAATAGATCCTTTTCTTGCAATTCTTGCCTGTGGAACTCCCTGTAAACTGCGATCTTCAAAATTTAAAAAATGTAGCATCACTCGCCATCTTCTGTTTGCCTGAATCCTGTTCTGCTTGTCTCTTCTTCTCACTAACGCCTTTCTCATTTTCTTTCTCTCTCAGTAAACCCTTGCGTCTTAGTATCATTATCGCCTTACAGGGGGTGAAATGATTAAAACAAAGAAAGAGAAAGTGAACAAAAAGAGAAATTGACGGAGAGAGAGAGAAAGAGAGAGAGAGAGAGAGAGAGCGATAGATAGATAGACAGGGAACGAGACAAAGAAACGCGAAGAAAAAAAGAGAGTGAAGACGTGTAACAGAAAGAGTTAGAGAACAACATAAAGATGATGAGAAAGATTAAGAGAACTAGAGAGAGAGAGAGAGAAAGAGAGAAAGAGAGAGAGAGAGAGAGAGAGAGAGAAAGAGAGAGAGAAAGAGAAAGAGAGAGAGAGAAAGAGAGAGAGAGAAAGAGAGAGAGAGAGAGAGAGAAAGAGAAAGAGAGATAGAGAGAGAGATGGGGAACAGCTAGAAAGGGTAGAATAGAGAATCAGGGGGAGAAATAACGTGAAGAGAGAATTAGATATATTTTACGTGCACATCTTTTGATGATGACACCTTTTTATCGTTCTCCTGCAGTTCGCTGAGCAAGCACCTTCTTGAGATATGTGACCTATTGGATATCGAGCGGAAGATGGACTTGTATCGGGGCATGTTCTACTGCAATGCTGAGTCGGAACGCGACGCAAATTTCATTAAGTCTGAATCCCTTCAGATAGAGTTAATTGCTGGAGGCCTCAACTGGAAACAGCAAAGTTATATCATGGAAAGACTCAAACCTAACATCATGTCTGAAGTAAGTTCAATAACTGACATTTAGTCAATCATTCGTCCGAACTACAACTTCATTTTTGTTTCTTTTTTTTTTATTTAACTACATTGGGAAGCAGGTCAGCCTTTTTCCGGTTAATAGTAAATCATTTCACTAACTCCGTAAAACGCTGTTATAAAGTATTCACATTTCATCTCCTGTCATAATCGCTGTCAGCATCGGTTGTTCGTCCGGAACGAACTTATAGTAGGGAACAATATACATAATATCACCTTCAGATGAAGATCAATTTTGGGTACGGTTAGATCATTTCGTTTACCTGTGGGGCATTTAGGTTGCCGTAAAGTATATACTTTTCTTTGCTCGTAAATGCTTTCAAAATTGGTAGGTTGTCTAGTGGAGGACTCTATTACACTTTACATAATATCACCTCTAGATGAACATACGCCTATCACGTATCTACTTAGATACGGTCTAGTAGGTTTATTTAACTTAAATCATGTGGAGTCCACTCATCAAAGCAACTAACATAACCAATTGAATATATAAATTATTTTCAGCACTATATATTTTGAGTAAATTAGCTATATCCTTCAATGTATTTTTATGGCATTTTCCTTCATAACGTAGTTTTCTTAATTAATTGATTCGTTTTCTACGGCTTATCAACCTTTTGCAGGTTATTTAAAGCCAGGAATTTTTTTTTCAGATTGCAAATTTTTTTAGGTAATAATAGATTAGTGTTACAAGTCTTACTAATTAACCCATACCTAGGGGAATGTAGGCGATCTGGGATTGCAAAGGAAATATTTGTCGCAGATTACTTCCACAACGCAGAGAATAAATCACTGTAAGTTCAGACTCGAATATCGAGGGCAGAAAGAAATGCCGCAAACTCTATTCGCAGGTACTATCTCACAAATCCTAATGCACGTAACCAGTCAGAAAGATTAACCCATTCTCCGACAAACGCGGTAGCCGAACGTTATTTAATATATTTTAAAATACAATTCGGGCACAAGGCCAAAAGGGGGAGAGGTTAAGGCTGGTCGACACTAGCTATCCTATACCTAGCTAATCCGATTCACGACCCATTTACTCATTACAATTTTTCACATTCACCATAAAACTCGTCCGTCACCAATCAATCCTCCATACACCACAATACCGCATCCTCTCAAGGGGGACCTACAAAACGCGCCCCATGCCATAAAAATATAATGATTATAAAATTTATACCTAGAAATCTATGGATGATTAAATATGAGAGGGGAGGGAGATGAACCCAATAACAAACTAAACATCAACACAAAGAAATCTAAACATAACTGATGTTAGTAGGGCCCGTCCAACCCTCAAAAAAGGAGAGACCGCTGTATTCTGCCCATGGGACAAAATCAATAAGCTCTCTCGCTAAGGGAGCGGGTAAAGGAGAAAATATTTATGGTTATTGGAAATATAAAAGCTGACCCAGTCGAGATGAAAAGGGGGGGGGGGCAAAACAAACTGGGAGGTTGGGAATCTCGACTTGGAACATAACTAAATATGTAGCCGGGACCAACACTTACTCATATTAACTAGGTACACTGTCTAACCTAACCAAGGGTAGGGCTCCACGGGAAAACAGGAAAACACTCCGATGTGACGTAGGTTGACCTAGAAGAGAAAATCAAGGCTAGCCCCATTCAAACGAACCAAGCTCGCCTCAGACACCCACCTTTCGTTAAAGACTGTCGAATGGAAGCGTTTTCTATCAGTTCTAATCTTCATCTTGAGCTGATGATCAAATAATTGGATTAGATCCTGATAAGAAAGACGGTTGCCTCGCAAGACTTCCTCCTGTCGCGTCGTCCAAATCACCATTCGGGCTGTGTCCAGCAGCGTGAGAGACACCATTCGTTTCACCCCAGAATACGGGAGCGACACATTGTCACACGCGTATCCACGATCAATGAGCAGAAGCTGTTCGGGAGCGAGACGAGCCGTCAGCTCGCCAACATGGTCCCATAAGGGGTGGACCCGGGGACAATGGTAGAGGGCGTGCGGAGCCGTTTCTTCTAAACCAAGGTCACACCGTTCACAGTCTGGCAAACCTGCAAAGCCACATATAAAGGCCTTGTCATTGAGAGGCAGCCGATTCCGAGCCAATCGCCAGGTAAGCGAAAACTCAGGGTTACTGAGATAATCCGCCGCTGGCGCCCAAGACCAGAAAGAGCGAAACTCCTCCTCCGAGAAGTCTAGCCGCTCTCATAGAGGATCCTTCGCGGTCCCCACCCCTAGATAATGATAGAAGGCCTTCCTAGTCTGTGAAAGGTCACTGGACGGAGGAATAGCCAACATGGCAGACCGACACTCACGAAGGAAATCCGATTGATCCCGAGGTTTACGATGCGAGATGGGGAGACTGATACTAAGGAAAGGGAACGCGTCCCTAACAATCGCCGCCATAATCGAATCTCCTGTCCAAAGACAGTGCAAAAGTGACCGACAGATTTCTGTTCACCTGTATCACAGCACTGGGGGAGCGATACAGGAGGCTAATCCAGCGGCAGAAGTCGGGTTCTAATCCGGCGGCCTGCAGGACAACAGGAAGGTAGCGATGGTCAACCCTATCAAATGCCTTGGACTGATCTAAATTGATCAGTGCGGCCTCATCGTCGTTTTTTACACCCTCTATGATCGTGCGGATCAGATGCAGGTTGCTCTGAATTGTTCGGCCCCTCACAGCGCAAGTCTGCTCAGGACCCAACAGAGACTCGGCAACTGACTGCAAACGTTCCTGCATGATCTTGGCCAAAATCTTTAACTTTGTGTTTAGCAGAGTCATGGGCCTGTAATCATCTAATTCCCGCCCAACATCCTTGCAACATCCAGACCAGGCGACTTGCCCCTGCCGAGCTTCTTCGCGTAGACTTCGTCCTCCGTGATCTCTCCCTCGCAGCTAGCCGCTTCAGTCGGCGAAAGCCGAGGGAAGTCAGACTAATAGCTACGAAACTCCTCCTCACAGAGACCAGGCTCCTTGGTAAACCGGTTCTCGAAATGCCGCCGAAACGCCTCGCACATGTCGTCGTTGGCCCGAAGAGTTTGCCCCTCCGGGAATTTAACCTCACGAATGTACCGATCGGAACCTCGACGGATCTCTTCCTTGCGCAATTCTGTGCCCATGTTCACCGCTTCGGAAGACATCTTGCTTAACCTATGTCTAATTACCTGGCCCATGTAGCGCTCGCTAGTCAAATTCTCCACGGCATCCCTAGCTAAGGCTATCTCTAGGGGATTCCCCCCCAACCACCGCCTGGGAAAACTAGCCTTAAGCGTCTTCACCTTCTCAGGTCTATCTAGGGCGAGCCGTTTGCTGAAATCAGTGGTGAAAGACCTAATTCTATCCTTAAGTCTGTCCTACTACTTATTTCCGATAACCGCCCCACTAAACTAGTTAGCTGTTCCTGGAAGTCCCGCCTGTCCACTAAAGACAGATTGAACTTCCAGTAGCCAGCCATTCTAGGCCTACGATCTAACGCCACTCAGGCACAAACGAGTTTGTGATCCGAATAGCCTACCCAGTGGAACGTGGGGCAATATATAAGTCTACGTCGGCTCCCCTATCTAACATTCTATCCAGGTAGCTAACCACCCGGGTAAAAGACCAATTAAGAGCCCACGTCCACATTCCCCCTCTCCCGGGGTGATTGACCCGGTATCTATCGACGAGACCAAACTCTTCGATCATATCAACCAGGTTACGATCGCCCTTTCTCCCACTAGGTCCCACGACCCCTATCTAACTTGGGATCCGGGATGGCATTCCAGCCCTCCATTAAAACTAGGCGCGTTGAATCCACTAGGAACGGCCCCAACTACCGAAAAATCGAGACCCGCTCCTCCTGGTCGTTGGATGCATAAACCGCAACGACTCGGAACGAACCTCTTTTCACGGCAATATCGGCCACGATCAACCGGCCCTCGGCATCGGTATGCACAAGGTCCACCTTCGCATCAAGAGTACGCCTCGCCAGCAAAGAAACTTCTCTGGCATGCCGGTCCCCATATGCTGAATAAACGACAAAGTCGCTAGACAGCACACACGCATCGATGCTGTGGGTCTCTTCGATCGCGGCGACATCCACACCGAAAGACAAGAGATCCCGGAGCAGTCGGACAGCCTTACCCCGATCCCTCAAGCCCTTCATATTCAGAATGGCTATCTTAATAGACATCTTCTAGGCCTGAAATAAAAGTTAGAAAAGAAAATGACCTAGACACATACAGGACGGAAATCTACAGCGGATAGAACCCCGACGGATTGTCCCATGGTTCCCTGTCCCCATCTCTGTCGTCATGTGACCATCTAGGACAATGCCTCCGACGTCCGTGGGATATGTTAGCTTTAGAGCCCTATATAAAGCGGGATGGAGTATAACGAGGGCCCACCCGGCGCAAAAAAATTTCTAAAATATTCCATCTTCAGCATGTCATGCGGAATACGTGCCCTTTTTTTGGTAAGTAATTTTGTTTTTCGCCACATTTTCCGTCGTAGGATACACGCGACACGCTGTCGCTTGGTTTGACGAGATAAGTCGCCGTTTCCTTCGCTATAGGGAAGAGGTGGATTCATGCCTTTCCCAAGGGTATTAGCGCGTAAGTGAATATAACAAACCCAACTGGAATTGGAACTCTGCTCTGCGATTTAACCACCTGCACATCCATGCTAGGTATTCTCAGCGGTTAACACATTTAGGGCACTGACCCGTCTCGACGTTGCTTAATTGATCGTATGGGAACCGGTGTTTTATCGTGCTACAGCCGTAATGCGTTTATGGCTCTAAACAGATTAATTTTCTTTACTATTTGTGAATGGCCATGACATCTTGGGAAAGATAGTGGAGTGGTTTCCCCTTGCATCCTTTAGTGTTGAATTCAGTTTAGTCCTTCTCGCCTAATTGCCACTCAAGGCTAGATAACCTATTCTACCCAGCTATTTAATCCATAGCCGGAGGTAGGAAAAATGAAATCATGATTTTTTCTAAAGCCGTTTTTTTCGGAAGTGACTAGGGTGAAATTTGATTTCTTTTTAATACTAATGTTCACCCAATACAAAGCCCAAGAGCCACTCAAGGGAGAGGGTTGTATGAGCGTAGGAAGTGAAGTTCAGGAAAGAAATGAACTTCACGCAGTTATGCAGGAAAGGTGACAATTAACCCTACAATTGAAGAGGTCAAGATTGTAGGGATAAGGGAAAAAATTCTGCCGGGTGACTGTTCCACAAAGCATCAGTTTTTAGAAAGAAGCTGTCCGAGTGGAACTTCCTCCTTACTAATGGAATACGAATGGAAGAGAGATGATTCACCTTAGTGTAGGTGACATGGCGGATCGCAGTCGTAATGGTCAGTCCTGGTGGGACTAAGGAATATAACTCGTTAAAATACACGCCATAGAAGTACCGATAGAACAGCGAGAGGGGTTTTAGGGAGGAAAATAATTCATCACCCACAAAACCAAGTAGACACCTTCGGACTCTCTCAAAGGAAGCAAGTGAGGACTGGGCAGTTCCTGTTCAAATATAGCAGCCATATTCCAGTTTTGATTTGATCTTGTAAAATAGACTATAGCAGGGGGAGTCAGATACTTACTGGAATGGTACAATGAAACGACCATTTTGTGGCATCTTTAGCCAAAATGTGTCAACTTGAGTGAAGATCAGTTCTACTTTCAGCGCTGCTAACCGTTATGCTACCCAGATATATCCTCCGTTGTGAAGCGTTCATAATTTGTCTATATCTCTGAGATGAGGCATTATGATTACTTGCATTATTTACATTATTCGGACTGTTATCCTCATCTTCATTGCCATATTCACAACTCTTTGGCCATTGTACGGTCCGGCCTTTATGTCTATATCTCTCTATATATCTGTCTATATCCCTGAGATGAGGTATTATGATTACTTGCATTATCTACATTGTTCGGACTGTTATCCTCATCTTCATTGTCATATTCACAACATTTTGGCCGTTCTACGCTCCGGCCTTTATGTCTATGTCTCTCTATATATCTGCCTATATCTCTGAGATGAGGTATTATGATTACTTGCATTATTTACATTATTCGGACTATTATCCTCATTTTCATTGCCATATTCACAAACCTTTGAGAGTTGAGTTGTGAATATGGCAATGAATATGAGGATTACAGTCCAAATAATGTAAATAATGCAAGCGTTCATTATTCTTACGCATTGTCATGATTTAATCGCTACCAATCTCAACTGGTCTACCCGACCGTGGAGCATTGTTCAGAGAGAAATCTCCAGCAAGAAATTTCGCAAAGCTATTTTGGCACAAATGATTACCCAAAAAACTCTCTTTGAAATCATTGCACAGTGAGCCTAAATTAAAAAAGGATAATATGTTGAAAATGTTTTTTTTAATTTCTTTCAAGCAGTAAACAAATATTTCCTCATACACCAAGTTGGACAAAATCTCTGTCACAATCAAAAAGCGATCGTTTTTGTTTATTAAATTAAAATTAAACGCTTTTAATGCCATCTAAGGGTAGCGTAACTGCTATCGGTGCAGTGAGATTAGATAACCGAGTTTAAATTTCGGCTTAGTTTATTCACTTTGGAAAGGTATGAATACACATTTTCTTACTCCAGCTATGGATTAAATAGCAGTGTAGACTGGACTCTCTTGCCTTGATTGGCAACTAATCTAGGAGAAGGAGCACTCTGAATTAAAAAAAAAACTGTTGAGAAGGCAACAAGAAACTGCTCTATTTTTCCAAAAAATGTCATGACAATCACAAACAATTTAGAAAAAGAATTAGTGGAGAGCCATGATCGCCTACTTCCTGAACAGATTGGCATTAAAAATGAATGCCATCTAATGATGAATACAGATTAAACCCAATATTAAAACTGGCTGAGGTTTTGGTATGAGATAAGAAATGGTTAAATGTTGGCTGCTGAACAAATGACCGAGGTTTTGTATGTTAACCAATTCGAGTAGCTTCTTCCCACGGACCGCTGTTTTATGGAACCGACTCCCAAGAGGATGATTCCACGATCTCTACAATCTTATCTTGTTTAAATCTAGAGTTAACCGTTATCTTCCTAACATATCCTCCTAAACTGTGCCATTACTTATTACTCTGTTGAAAAAAGATGATAGGTAGATATGAACAGAATTAGATAGATAGATAGATAGATAGATAGATAGATAGATAGATATGTGCAGACTGATAGATAGATAGATAGATAGATAGATAATGACGATTCGTTCTTTCTCCAGGAAAGTGTTCAGACGAACTACATTCCCTAGTTATACCTTGCACAACTAACACCCGCCATAACACGCACATTTTAACGAACCACCCTTCATTCCCTTGATGAGATGCATGCTATTTTCGAACAGCTTCTTCCCACGAACCGCTACATTGTGGAACCGACTCCCAAGAGGATGCTACCTCACTGATAACTACAATCTCAATCTGTTCAAGTTTGGTTGCAAACTTTATCCTCTCCGCATATCACCATGAACTGTGCCTCTCACTCTGTAGCAGTCTAAGCGGGGTTGTTCGTAGGCCTTGTACAGAGTGAAGAACATTTAAAAAAAGAAAAGAAAAATAAAATGTCGGACGAAAGACAATTCGTTGAAATTGAATCAAAATGTTTTTTTTTCTTGCAGATTTCGTTCCTTGACTTCATTTGTTATATTCCGCTTTTTATGTCAATGCATGACAATATTGTTGACAACCCACTTGATATGTCCTGCGACAAGTATAATGAGAAACGCCGCAGATTGTCCGGGGTAGCCAGACAGAGAGACATGAATCCATTGGGGGTCCCACTGCAGAAAAACAGCGCTTATCAACTCCGACAGCAAGCCAAGGAATTATTGGCTGGCAAAGTCAACCGAGAAGACTTAGACGAACAAAAAAGGGCCCTTCTGAATAAATATGCCAAGTAAGAAGTGAATTTCATCTAAAGTGTTTTTTAAACAACATGCCATTATTATTATTATTATTATTTTCAGACGGTGTGTTTTTCTAGTGAAGAATCTTTCTACAGAGTGCAGCAGAGATACCTCCCACATAATAGTAAGACATTAGATAAGATTAGAACATCAATACCACTAATGCCTTGGGAAAAGGTATGTATACGTATTTTCTTACTCCAGCTATGGATTAAATACCAGGGTGGAGTGTACTCTCTAGCTTTGGGTGACAACCAGTCTAGGAGAAGGAATATTCTGAATAAAATAAAATAAAAACCTCTGAAAAGGCAACGAGGAACCATTTGACAATTTTCTAACAAATCATGACAATTCACAGATAATAAAGAAATATACCTCCCAGAAATAACATCTCGTATAATGATAAGCCATTAGATAGAGGCAGACGCCATTGCCACTAATGTCTTATTATTATGTGGGAGGTATTTCTGCCGCATCCTGTATAATGTATTCCAAACTCATAGTTGTGTAAAGAAATTTGCAATCGTCTTCTTCAGGCAGGTTCGAATACCGACATTAACACTTTTCTTTCTTTCTTTCTTTCTTTCTTTCTTTCTTTCTTTCTTTCTTTCGTCTGTTCTTCCATAATTCATAAGAAATAAGAAGTATTCATAAGGACAAAAACCGGCGGTAACAAAGGTATATATTACCATAAAATGGTAATTTGAAAAATAATACCGATTAAAATATGACAGCTACACCAGTATATCGGCCCCTTTTCATCAGATCAAATGTCAGTGACACACAAAACAAATTTTATATGTTAAAAAAAATTAAAACTAATTATCTTCAAGCCCACCAACCACATCTTCTGCTTACAAAGAGATGGCTGGTAAAACTTAATATACACTGATTTTCTTTCTTTCTTTTTAAATTCGTGAATATTCATCTTTTTGTTTCTTTATACAAATAATTTTTCGAATAATAAAAATTATTTTCGAACTTCAGAATTTTCTGAATTTTTACAAAATCTTTCACAAAAAATTTCCCCAGACAATTTTCTGAATAATTTATTTTTAAAACATTTTTTATATATGCTCTGTCTGCAATGTGAAAGACGTCTTCGATATCCATCCGGAAATGATCCATCCTTTTAGTATCAACAAAAACCCCACGAAAAGAATAGTGTTTATGTCTTCTTCAAAATATCTACCTTGAGAATTCACACAATTCATCATGCAGAATTTTACCGTTCAAAACAATCACAGAAGTCTTCTTTGGAGATCACCATCAGCTGCTTTCGTCCTTAAACTCACCCACGGTCAGAAATGTCATTTAAATTAGCTTATTAGCTTTTAGAAAAAAAAGTTCCAGCAAGAATCTAGGTTGGAGGATAGTAATTTATTAAGCGAAGATTAGATGTGGCACAATGCCGAAAGTATGCAGCGCTCAGTGAGGATCGAACTGACTATTCAGTCTTAATTGATCTAGCTAGACAAACTTGTTAACCATTACACAATGTCGAAGTGTCCAAAATATAGAACACTTCACGAATTTTGGTGACATCCTTGCGCATGCTAATCTACTCTGCAACATTTTCGGATATATACTCCTGAAGCGGGTAAGTTTGTTGGTTGATTTTCTTTTAGCGGCTATGGGTTATTTAATGTTGAATCTAAATATTTCGAACACAATTTTATGTCTTCAACTAAATATATTTTGAACGCAATTGTATGCCGCCAACTAGAGATAAAATGAATAGTCAGCAGTTTTTCTATAAATGTATTTTGTTAATTCTAGTTTCCTTCCTAACTTTTTATTTGAAGTAGTGTGGAATGTCAGCATCTTGATTATGTCATTATTTTCTCTTCTCAAGCCCTGTAGCTGTTATCACTCTTTCCACTATTGATGGAGGTTTCCTTCTTAACCTTTTATTTGAAGTAGTGTGGAATGTCAACATCTTGATTATGTCATTATTTTCTCTTCTCACGCCCAGTAGCTGTTATCACTCTTTCCAGTATTAATGGAGGTTTCCTTCCTAACATTTTATTTGAAGTAGTGTGGATTATCAACATCTTGATTATGTCATTATTTTCTCTTCTCAAGCCCAGTAGCTGTTATCACTCTTTCCTGTATTGTGGAGGTTTCCTACCTAACCTTTTATTTGAAGTAGTGTGGAATGTCAACTTCTTGATTATGTCATTATTTTCTCTTTTCAAGCCCAGTAGCTGTTATCGCTCTTTCCAGTATTGATGGAGGTTTCCTTCCTAACCTTTTATTTCAAGTCGTGTGGAATGTCAACATCTTGATTATGTCATTATTTTCTCTTTTCAAGCCCAGTAGCTGTTATCACTCTTTCCAGTATTGATGGAGGTTTCCTTCCTAACCTTTTATTTGAAGTAGTGTGGAATGTCAACATCGTGATGATGTCATTATTTTCTCTTCTCAAGCCCAGCAGCTGTTATCACTCTTTCCAGTATTGATAGCGGTTTCCTTCCTAACCTTTTGTTTGAAGTCATGTGGAATGTCAGTATCTTACTTCATTAATTACATTTTTCCATGTGCTATCTATTTTAGTTGTTGCTGCTGTTGAAAGTCATCAAGTTATGTGGTTTTTGTTATTTGGTACAGGTCTTTGTGGTTTTTGGCGCCAGTGCATATTTGAAGAAAGATGGTCTTATTTAAAATCTATCGGTTTCATTCGCTCGGAAACGAAATAAATGATTATTTGCTAATCTATTTCGTGAACGTGACATTAGCACAGTGACATTAGCTCGCCCTTTAGCACAGTGACATTAGCTCGCCCTTTAGCGTTCCACTGTCTACTGAGCAACGGGCCTATTCAATAAAAACTCTTCTGATTGGTTGTAATCACCAACTCCGGGCCCCCAAAAGTAGACCTCAGTTAAGATGACAGATTGAAAGGAATTTGGTCTTTTTATGATAGTTGGCCAGAGAAAATGACTTCTTTGAAAATTCCTTCAACTCTTCTTCTAACGTCTCCGCTTAAAATTTTATTTACTATTTATTTACTTTTGTTTCCTCAATAGGAGTAGACAGGAGTATCGTCTGCTTCATGCACTTCCTCAATCTTTTGCACAGGAGTAGATATTTCTCCCCTGTTTACTGTTCATGATTGCATTTCTTCTAAGGTCTTTTCCTTTTCTTTCACTTACTTCTTGGTGGTATTATTACTTTATTTGGAGTGGTGTCTCTTACCCTGTAACCGTCTACCTTGAGTGAGTCTTGGGACTTTTACAGGCTGAAAATTATTGTAAAAAGTAATAAAGAAAAAACGATTCTTGAGTTATTCAAAATGGCTGAATAATATTCGGTGAGATTTGGCATTTTACACTAGTGTCATGCTGTATCCCTGTACTCCTTTTAAGCTTTTCAGATATTGTTAATGAATTTTTCGACAAGTTTAGGAATTCATTGACTTTAAATAATTCACTATTTTCATATTTTCAGATTGCCGGATATTTTGAGCTGAGTTTTTCTTCCTGTACCTAAAGAAAACCAACGACTAATTCAGAACGGTGTACAGATGAAGAAAGCTCTTTCAGTCACGTCCACATACAGGCGTCCAAAAACAAAACAAGAAGTACTTTAACACCAAATATCTGAGGACCTGCTCGGGTGGCTGGGATAATTGTGTATTTAATTCTAGCTTCAGTCAGAAGTCGGTGTTCAATCACAGATTAATAAATAAACAAAAATTTACAACATTGAGTGCTGATTTTCAAGGCAAGCAAATAGGCTCTTCCCACTTAGAAGTGAAAGAGAAGGAATCGACCTTAGAAAATTTGGCGGGTTGAATAAATGCTATCCAAGAGCAAATCAGTGTTTGTATATGTACGCGAATATGAAAAAGAGATTTTTAAGATGCCTGGTCCAATTTCAACCGATCTCTCTATATGATTGATTGAGTAATCATCACTCAACAGAAATAAAGAAAAGTAATGGTTTCTTTGAGGGAAACAACAAAATGGATGCTATTAACCGATGTAAGAGAATAATAATGCTTATTAAATTACCTTCGTTTGGCAGAGGGCAGTAACAGCAGAGCGCCTAATGACGACAAAACGCATTAGGAATGACATTCAAATTTTGCCAAATGCAATTCTATAATAAATGCTCAAATGCGTTGATAATAACAAAATTTGTAATTTCTTGCAGAAATTCTTTTTTTTAAATATTTTGATATTTGTTAAATGTAGTATAATCTGTTACAAGGTCTCAGTAGATTAACAGCAAATGATGGTTTGGTTTAGTTTGTTTCGTTTTACGGCACATCAACACCTCAATGGGTCATTTAATGCCGACAACGT